CCCTGGCCACACAATAGCAGATGTAAAGGTAGCCATCTTACAGCAAAAAAATTTCAGGACCAGACTCCAAAGACAAACTGCTGAGCTCCAGTTCATTTGCAAATTTGACACCATCAGATCAGGATTAAACAAAGACTGTGAATGGCTATCCAACTACAGAAGCAGTTTCTCCTCCCTTGGTGTTCACACCTCAACTGCTAGCAGAGCACCTCACCCTCCCTGATTGAACTAACCTCATTATCTCCATACTGATTTATACTTGCATCTGGAAATTTCCATTACTTGCATCTGAAGAAGTGAGGTTCTTACCCACGAAAGCTTATGCTCCCAATACTACTGTTAGTCTTAAAGGTGCCACAGAACCCTCTGTTGCTTTTTACAGATTCAGACTAACACGGCTACCCCTCTGATACTTACCCCAACAGTCTCTCTGTCTCAGTTCCACCCCAAGCGGGAGCATCTACCCGTTATTTTTTTTTTATTTCCCCCCCTCTCTCCCAGAGTAGGCTTACCCTGTATGGGTAGCTCAAAGCAATGTCAACCTATTAGAGGCCACAATACTGAAGATCCTTGACTATATGCTGCTCCTGAAACATGCGGGACTAGCTGAAGTTTCACTTGGTGGCAACAATGGTGTGTTGCACTTGAGTACATCCATGGTTGCAGTCCTGCAAATCTGTCTGTGGCTGGTGCTTGGCATGTCCCAGTGCTTCATTTCCTTGCTGCAGCCCCATAAGCCTGCATGCAGCCTTAAGTCAGGGAAGGCAGTACTAGTACGTAGCAATCCACTACCAAGGCAGGATGCAGCCCCGAGAGCACAGGGAGAGGTGCCAGGAAGCCTCAGTGGCCCCAGTCCATCCACTCTCTGTGGAAAGCCCCAGCATCTGGGCTGCAGCCCTTCTCCCTGCTGCTGCCCTACCTGCAGCCTTCCCTCCCAGCCCACAGTGCCAAGACTCTGGCAGGGACTTCCCTAATGCCCCAACCCATTATCTCCTGTGCAAGCAGTGGGTACCCAGATGCAAGCAAGTTTGTGGGGCTGCAGCCAAAGAAGGAAGTGCTAGCCCCCAGTATCAAGGCAGGACGCAGCCTGGAGAGTGCAGGAAGAGGTAACATGCAGCTTTAGCACTTCTTTCCCTGGTTGCAACCCCACACATTTGCTAGTGATTAATGCCTTTTTTCAAAAAAGTCGTTAATAAACAGCATGCCTGATGCCAATATCCGAATCCCGTTAACATTAAAGTCAATGGGACAAGATCGGCTCCCAAAATGTTACTACACCGCTACCTCGATATAATGCCACCCGATATAACACAAATTCGGATATAACGCGGTAAAGCAGTGCTCCAGGGTGGGCGGGGCAGCGCACTCCGGTGGATCAAAGCAAGTTCAATATAACGCGGTTTCACCTATAACACGGTAAGATTTTTTGGCTCCCGAGGACAGCGTTATATCGAGGTAGAGGTGTATTAGTTTCAGGATTATGATTAACTAGCATCCACTATATTATAATTCTTTGAAAAAATGTGAACACAAAAACTGATGGTTTACTTTTAGCTGGTTTTGTGAAAAGGTGGAAACTCCAGCTTTCACATCCATGTTTGTGCACGAAGATGAAAAGTGCTTTTTCCAGAATGAGATCCTAGGCTACTGAAGTCATTTTAAGACAAATCTGAAGAGCTCTGTGACTCAAAAGCTTGTCACTTGTGCCAAGTGAAGTTGGTCCAATAAAAGATATTACCTCACCCACTTTGTGTCTCTAACACTTCTCAGTGAAAGCCTCATTCTCTTATGCAGAAGAGTATTTGGAAGTAATGCTCTAGCGATGCAAAAACTGAGAAGGCAATTTTAACCACACTTTGCAGCACACCCTGTGCTCTCAAGAGGCAATCAGCAACTCACAGGATCAGGTGCTATATCAGTATATTAACTACAGCTCTGGGTTGATCTCAGTAAAACAACAGGTGTAATGCAGTGCTAATGAACAGATTTACTGAAGTGAATGTTGCTTTAAGAATCCATGTAAAGGCCCACTCTACATCTGCACAGACAGCAACATTTTAGGACCTCGGGGCATTTGTGAGAATCTTTCCTGAGTCATAAGAGTACACTTATTCTTCTTCTGTGCCATCTAGCCACTTGAAGTTCTGCCAATATACTGTACATCCTTGCAGTAGCGAACTATACTGTTAGAATGCTTGCAAGCAGACTGCGGACATTAAAAGTGTGCCATCAACTGTTTTTGATGCTGTAAAAAACCACTTGGGAAAACTTTTCTATTTTATTACCTTGCATAACATCTCTGCACTATGAAAGATTTCTTTAGAACAATGTTCATGAATCTGAAATGACATAAGTTTTTATCTTAGAACTACCAGCCCTTTCAGCTCTACAACCTCTAACAAAGTAGTAAAAGTATCTGCCAAAAATGATGTAACTAAGGTTCTGTGTATCATTCAAGTAAACCCCAAAAGCTAGGTCTGCAGTTGTACCTGCCAAGTCATCAGGCAACCATCA